AAGTCTAAACCCTTCAAATGTTTGGCCTTCAAAATTGCCTATTTAGTAAGACAATTATTAAAAATATGCGTCTCTAGTATTTTCTATTTTTCTCCTCTGTGCATCAAATGTAGTTTCATCGCATTTTTCTTTCTCTTGTTGCTTTGTCAACATGTTGCGAAAGTGACTATTTTGCTATGACGTCAAAGCGAAATAGGACTGACAATTACATTGAATACAGTAGACAATGCTTCAATTTTGCACGAAAATAACTTTCTCCTATTTACACCTACCTCCGCTGCTCTATAAATAGAACCCGGCCTGGTTACCAAGTACTCCCGATGGATCACGTGATTAGACTCACTGAGCTCACAGGTGAGTCCATTCGGTAAGTAGTTATATGACAAACAACGATTACTCGTGTCCATGTAACACTGGTTCCTACAAAGCTTTTCATCTGATGTTATGATGGTCTTGAAAACAAACCCCAAGAGGGCCTGACCTTGCAAAGTGAGGTCGTCGGGGAATATCATTGTTTTGCACCCATCTGACGAGAAAGAAAAATTTTTGTCTAGAATTATTTGTTAGTTTGGTTTTATTTTCTGAATTAGTGATGTTATTGTTATCTTTGAATTTTTTTGTAAAATTAAACTTAAATTTATAGTTCTGTTTTTCCTAAACATCTGCTTTCCTTTACAAAGAAAAGTTTTTACTTTTATTATAAGAGAAATGATGTCATACTGATTGTGTCTTTTAATTTTGCGTTGTTTAACTTTACGTTTTCGTGTCATTTTCTTGTCTACATCTTTGACTAACAGTCTAATTTATCTCATATCTTTTTCTAATATCGACATTTTTGCTTTCATTCTCCGATGACAATATGTATTTGCAATGTAATTTAAAAATAAGATGTACATTTTGATAGGTTTAAAGCGGCGTTTACACGAGCAATTTTTCCTTGACAAGTTTCTTGACAAGGAAAAATTGCCCGTGTAAATGGTCAACAAGTTTTCCTCGACACTACTTCTTTGACAATGTTTCTTTGCTAGTGTTAACGAAGAACAAGTTTTCCTTGACAAGGAAAAATTGCCCGTGTGAATAGTCAACAAGTTTTCAATAAAAGTGTTTTTAAATATTATCAAAATCATAGCAAAGGTGTTATCCCATAAGGGCTAATCTTACCTAATGCATAGACTCTAGCTATCATTGCTATGATCCAASTGAATATTCTCATATCCATGGCGAAGCTGCAATTCACTGTCTGAGCTTGTTTCTAACTCTTGCGTGTTTTAAAATTTATAGTACATTATATAGTACAAAATAATACTTTTTCATTGGTCGAGAGGAGTACAATTACAGCTTTAATTAGGAGTACCAATTCAGTTGTCATGAAAATCATTAAGACAAAATCATTATATTTTGTACTTTCAAATTTAAAATATGCTATTTGATGAATTTTAGTTTCTATCAACAAATTTTATGGAATGAAAGCCAACACCAAAGAAAAAAGCTCGAATGAACGCGCATTAAGGTCGTAATGCGTCTTTTATATTGATAATATTATAAAATTTTATTTCACTGGATGTACTATAAACAAAAAATCGCAAAACCTCTCGTACAATTTGGAATTAATAGTCACTCGTAATGTTTTGAAGGTTCTCAAATTGCACTCGCCCTATCGGGCCTCGTTTGCAATTACGAATGTCTAATGTATGAGTGTAATTGACCTTGCAACATGATCTGTGCAAGGGGTAAATTTGTTTGAAAACTACAATGAAAAGTTTAACAAAACATTCCTTTTCTTTGAAGACTGCTCTTCGTTCTTCTTGCTCTCGTATTTACTCGACATCAATACCGTTTTTAATATCCTTGCTGTAATATCAGGTTTTTTTTCTTTGACTGGAGGCAATGGAACTTTCAACTTTCTTTTTTTTCTTGCTGCACTGCCTTCAAAACAGTGTCAAATCAATCATAGTATTTTTATCTAGTTTTGATTTACTTTAAATATATCATTGATATATTCCTGTACTTTAGGAAAATGTTTAGGAAATATTCAATTAACTTCATTTTTTGTATAGGAAATATTCAATTAACTTCGTTTTCCAGCTTGCGTCTAGTTTGATCTTAGTATTTTTTTAATTTCGCCCTGCCCTGCTGTTAATYCCCTAGATGTTTATTGATTTTTTGGGCAGWAAAAGACACCGAAACAACAGGCCAAGTGTTTGAAACTGCTCAAGAATTCAGCCCCACAGACGAGCTGTTTTCATTCGAGCGTAAAAGGTTTTCTTTTTTGTTTTCTCCATGACTTCATTATCGATTTATGAATTCGAGAAAAAGCAGTTGCAAAATATTTGTTTTAATGCATTTCTATTTGGGGTACATTGCTTTGTTTTTGTTTATCCAGAAACGTCTTCTAAAACCAACTTAAGGTGGCTTCCTATAGTTTTTTATTTATTTTTTATTTTTTATTTTTTATTTTTTCGACCATACCTCTCCTTTTAAATTTACTTTTTTTAAATCTTGCCATGCACCGATTTAATTGGTGTTTGGACCAGTATTAAAGCATCGACCAAAGTTTTGTTTGGCATAATATTTAGCTCCATCAACGTTACCTAGGCAACAGAAATAGCATTTTGTCGAAATTCGTTTTTGCCAAATATCTAAAAAAATTGATGAGACCCAGAAAAGCGGTTGACATCATCATTAACTTCAAACTATTGCACAAGGTTTTTCTATAGTTGAAAACAAATTCACCTGTTCGATTTCGAGTAATATTGCCAAATATTTTATGGATGTTATTTTTGCATCTTGACTAATACTCTAACTTTTTTGTCCTGGAATTTGGAAAAATATTTCGTTTTTCAGTCTCTTGGTGTGTGTGTTTTTTTTCTTCTTCTTTTTCGTTTCTCTTTTCAAACCAGTGGTACAAACTATCTTTTCTGTACTGAAGTCTTCTGCTCAATAAACGTTTAAGTAAATAATTCAGAGGCTTTTCTGGAATAATCCAGCATCAATCCTTCAATAATACCACGAATTTGATTGGACCACGAGGTTGAGCGAACTTTCTAAAATAATTTGTATAATACACTTGTTGTGATTGGTCAAAAGGAGTGTTCTGATGAGAGTATCAAGCACGCACGGTCTAGCCATCGTTGCATGCTTCGTAGTTTTGTACGTTTCTCTCGTGTTCTCCCTATATCTCACATGTGTTATAATTCTGTGGTTTTATAAACGATATGATTGAGCTAAGTTGACTTTTCCCTTTTTTTCTCATTTTTTTTAACATGAGTAGACCATAATTAAATAGCCAATCAGAATGCTTGATTCCTGTGATGGTTCATAGTTTGGTTGAGACTACTAACACAGCTGAAACATGACACTTTCGTTGGCTCTCTCGTTTTAGTTGTCTGGAAACAAATTAAACGATTTTTCTCTGGGATATTTTATAAAGCTGTATACTAACCAACAAAATGCTTGTCAGCAATAACATCCACTTTATGACATGATTTTTGTCTTTTATTGTCTTTTGCTCTTCGAATGCAATGCATAAGAACACTGTACATCATGAGTGATATTGTAAGACAGTGAGCTCACGCTATAACATGATTTCAAAATTTTTCAAATCGTATGTGTCGACAATATTTGCCATTGTCATGACTGCAAAAAGCGTTCTTCTCATAATTTTATTTCCTCTCAAGTAGCTGGTTAGTAGCTGGTAGCTGGTACAGACCAATCCAACCTTACAAAGCTACTTATTTATCGCTAAATTTAGTATCTACTCAAGATAAACTGCAATGGCACTTACTAGGTTTAGGTTTTGCTCTCTGGGCCTTAGACATTTGACATTCTGCTTCTTGTAGACGATGGAGAAGAATCTCTGCAAATTCGGTGTTAGTTAAACCACGAATTCCGAGCAGATCTTTCCGCTGATTCCACAAAAGAAACGTGGACTCTTTTAGAGAAATTCTTTTAAGATCTTCATGCCGCTTTGGCCGTCCACGGACCGGTTTTCGAAAACTATCCCGGGAACTATCCATAACGATGGAAACTCATAGAAAAATAACCCACAAAGGGTATGTACTTTTAAAAATGCTTCACGCATRTCATAGATTAAATATTTATGAGAACTCGCGTTGTATTTTTTRAGCTCAAATCCTTTTTACGAAGACGATGGAAGAAGATTCGCGTTCGTGTGTCTATCTCCGCCGTCGTCCGCCATTTTCATGTCCACCTGAGATGGCGCTACGGTTTGCAAAGGACTGCGGGTGGTTATGATTCTTTAACRGTTATTAGACTTAGATCGAAACTTAAGCACAAGTGATGACGATTTTCTTATGTATTTGTTGATAAACACACTAAAATGAACTTCCAATCAATTTTAATCCTTGCTAAGTGGTTATAAGTTATGTGGTAATGTTATACTGTGATTTTTACATCTACAAAAATGAAATTCCAATCAATTGGTATCCTTGCTAAGTAGTTATAAGTTTATGAGTTATATGGTATTGAAATAGTTATACTGTTATAGTTACATATAAGTTGCATTTTGCTAAGTGKTTATGATTCTGCTCCGAGTTTCTGACGACGAATCCGCCAATGTCAACCCTAAAAGGGTTGGAAATCATAGAATGAGGCAGGGGAGGCTGCCCAGGACCAGAGWTGAGGGGCTCGATCATGGAAGCCCGCTTATATATAACACAAGCTGGAAAGTGGGATGTTGCCACGTCAAAATCATCATGCATGCGACCGTACCAAAATAGTTCCCTTCGCAAACATTTACATTTACAAGCACAATTGCAATGCCCAGTTTCCTATGGTCCAATAAAACTGGTTCACAATAACAGACGAAAAGAGTAGAAAAGTCTGTACTTCGTCGCCTTTCTCTAAATGTCCCAACTGAGTAGCTTCAKATGCATTTGCCCCATTTGTCAGTTCTATAGGTGTAGTGGTACGCRCACCAAGAGTATCTTTTCCAAGGCATGGTTCCATACTCCGTACATTTGTAGAAAATTTTACCAAAATACTTGAATGGGAAGTAGCAGCAGGATCCATCTTGAGTTTTAACAGTGCACGCTAAAACGAAAAGATTGCTAAGTCAAACCTTTTTGCAAAACTTCCTGTATGAAGACAGTGATTAACAAAAAATTAATTAAAGTAAGTAAAATTATTCATAATTGGTCACGAATGATCGTAATTGCCTTACAGTGTTCAAGAGAAATTTAAGAGAAAATCGATGAGTAAACATGTACTCCTCGAAATTCTATTAGACGCTCGCGTAAGCGGACAGCTTTCCATTATCTCGTGTTTTTTTCCATATTGACACTYTCTCATGGGTTAACAGATCAACCAACCGTTATTTTCCTTTGTACAAAGGGAACATTCAGCTGTATTTCTTCCTTTCATGCGACGAATCTATCTCGACAATAATAACGACAGTAACAAAAAGAGGTAGTTAAGAAATACAAATAACATAAGCTTACTAAATTTCAGCATCATCTTGACCGACTTCATATTCTCGAGTGTCTTTTTCCATGATTTCCAAATAATTCCTGTTGKGTTTAAAGCATTGCTGCCGGTGTAKATACCATTTGGACTCGCTCCATCTTCAATACAGTTTTTATACCAAAATCCACCTCTGTGAGTTGAAGCGCAGTTGGAAATTAARTTGTCGTCGTTGTCACTATCTGASGTACTAAACTTCATTCCATTGTGAGCTGACATGGCATTKCCATCCGTGCCTTCGTACACTCCATCGACGGTCAGAGCATATTTGCTCGCTTCGTCACCAACTTTGAAGAGAGCGTGCTCTGARTAGACAGTATTGTCTGAGTAATCGTCCACATCAATGCGAAGTAAACAGTTAAAGCTTTTGGTCAATCTATGGAGCTTGTCGTTTCCYAGCCAAAARTTACTGACAAAGTTCCCAAAGCCTTGCTTGTAGTCGTTCCAACCTCTTTCAAAGCTAAGGCTGCTGCTTGTCCTTTTCTGAAAGACTATCCATCCACCCCCCTTCGTTGTCATATCACAGAATACTGTAAATGCAGCATTGCTAGTATCAGGCTTGATAAGGTATTCACCACTTTGGAGAGCCGGAGCAGCGGCTTTACATTCAAAGCAATCTGGACAAACTGCAATAGATTCAAAYGATTTTACTGAAAATCATTGTGTTGYCAAGAARCGATCTTCATAGGGTCTCCTCTGTTGGCTTGCCCTCCCGAAACTTATAACTGTTTAAAGATAACCATTGAAAATTCCCAGACAAGAAAGAGGCAACTCAACCTTTGGATGTTTGAAAGCATGAACAACACACTATCAAAAGAAAGACAGCTTGACATTTTCCTTATTCCCATTAAGCCAACGAAGGCATAATTTCCAAATTGGGTGAACATTCAAAGAATTCATCCAGAAAGTCCACCTAATGCCAATAATTAGATCCTTCAACATCGAAACAGTAAAGAGAAGTAACAGCAAGCAGCCCAATCACTGTAAACCTTACTAAATAAGTTTTTGTATGGTCTATTCTGGGAGAGATCTAAAACATTAAATCAGCACTTAAAAATGTGTTTGTTACTATAATTGAATTATTGTATTATCTGAAAGTTATGTATGCATTGTAAAAAGTCCTTTGCATAAAACAGTATAAACGCGGTAGAGTTTGACAGGCTGACACATGAGGGTTMGAAAYTGATATCCCAGTGTACCTCTRCRCACGCTCATTCTCAAAATCCAACATCAAATCCTAAATAATCGAATCGAATCTGGACGCTGTTGGGCCAGCGTTAAACCACTTGGCTATCTTCGGTTACCACAACAAARTGATGACTTGACCCTAGCAGAATGGCCTTTCATCTTCACTARATTGTCAAGYAACAACATTATAAAGTACCTTTTTCACACAAGGCTCCGGATGATCCAAGTACGCATGTGCAGAGAAAGGAATTCTGTGACGTAACAGTACATGTGGCTCCGTTCTTACATGGAGCACTTGAACATGGTGTAATTTCTGTAGATAAAAGGAGTCAATTAGTTGTTAMGCAATTTAGTTGGTTGAGGGGAGAGACTCGGATGGAGAACGAWAGGTCACCGTTTAGAAAACGTAAAAACACTGACGAGATCATTGACTTGCAAAGGGAGAAGACGCAGAGGTTGACCAAAAGTCTGCCTGGTATTGGAGTGTTGAAAGGGAAGGGGCTGTTCTCAGGAAGAAGACAGGACTACTTCACAGGAACTATAGAGGTGGAAATGTTCAACGGATGCCKAATGCACCCTGGCACAAGGTATAAAATGGACCACTAACAATRATATGTCAGTACTAGAGGGGTTTTTAAAGGCGTGATAAAGGGAAATATCACGATTCCCATTATATTCGCTCTTGGTTTTCCAATTCTAAGTACGAGGACTAAATTTGAYGTTTATAATTTATCAGAAAATGTGCCTGGTTGACTTTAGTCATGACCAGTGTAATATAGTAGTTGCAGTCCCAGTCATTGCAGGAGCACAAACACACTTTAAAAAGGTTGTCGGAGTTGGCTCAGTACAACCTTATCATTAACAAGCTAACAATGATATATATAATAGTCTCCTTCACGGTTACCTGCGCCATCTTGAAAGGTAGCCGTGCCTTTGCATCGAAGCGAGACAACCGTTGAGTGTGCAATGATAGAAACCTTCTTTCACACCTACAGACAATTATTCACAGGTTTCTATCATTGCACGCTCAACGGTTGTCTCGCTTCGATGTAAAGGCACGGCTATACCTTTCAACATGGCGCAGGTAACCGTGAAGGAGACTATTGATGTTTAAAATTGACAAGGATTCTGAAATCGTTTTACCTTGTTTTATCGTTTTATCACATGCTTGTCCTGTCATCCCAGCAGCACAAATGCATTGAAAAGTTGCCATTGTCGGCTCAAAGCAAGTACTTCCATTCTTGCATGGGTTGGTTGAGCATGGAGGAACATCTAAAGCGAGCATAATCACAATTAAGTATTCTAGTCATTTTCTAAATAGTCATTTTCTAAATTAGGAAACGTAATATGGTCAATGCGTTTGTTGAAGATTCATTGACTTCTTGGTCGAGTTTTAGCCGTCTTGTGTGAATGTCGGCTGTCGCTAGACATAGTTGTATAAAAAGATCAATTTTAACGTGAATCCTTCGTCGGAGTATTAAACATCCATGTCGCATGTTTTCTTTACAAAATAAATAATTATGACTCTGAAATTTTCAATTCATTTTCATTCACAAAACCACATAAAAAAACTTACAATTTTCACAGTTCTTGCCTGACGTCACCCCAGGTATGCAAACGCAGCTGTAGTTGTCGTTTTGGTAGTCAGGGTAACAGGAGGCATTGTTTTGACATGGCGAAGGCTCACACTTGTTCTAATAAGACAAGCAATAATAATAGTCTATCTACAATGTTGATATCATGCTGCTCTCGGTTTCAATTTTAAATCAAAGTTTAAATTTCACTTGGTAAATTTCTTAATCTAACAAACTGGACGGGAAGAAACTTGATTCATTTTTGGAAATTAAGTGANGGGTGTTGGTAATTGGGTTGCCAAAATTGAACGATCTGCATTCCCAGTGTTTGATACAACTGAAAGCACACATTTTCAAATCTGGAACAGCTTCTGATGTTATCAGATGGGTGGTGATTCGTTTGAATCTGTTGGCTTTGAACGAAGAATATGAAGTTCCTGAGTCTGTAGTTCTTCTGCCATCGGTGTGATATGAGGTCCATAAAACGACTAATAARGCTATGATCGTCATTTTGGCCTTCGATTACGTTAAGCTGGAAAGTTGACGATTTTTCGTCTTTCATTAACAAAAAAGGTAGACACCGTGTTTGTTGATGGAAGTTCTTTGATTGCAAATCAATAAATTTCATACAAGGTCAATACAAGCCTGTATTAATAGAAAATTCTTCAATTAAATCCAATCTCAATTTGAAAGAGATCTACGGCTGGTTTTACCAATCAGCATGGTGAGATAAACACCCTTTTCAGGTGTGTCGAAATTATGAATGCGTTTCTTATTGGTTCAGTTTTTTCATCAGAAAACTGTTAATTATTCATATCATACCGAGAGCTGAATATGATGCAGTGAAATTCACATGATAAACAATCACTGATAGATATAATTGGAATTTCTACTTATTTGAAAAAGTATTGTATTTTCACTAAGGCTGCGGCATTAGAGCTCAGACAAATCATCTTCAGTTTACTTGCATTACCTATTTTATTTTGATGAAAATTATTTGCAAGACTTAATCTAAGTATTTTCTTTTTCCTACGAAACACATATACAGGACACTTTTAACCCTGGTAAACCAGCTCTTAGAGGTACTATCACTACCGGAAATTTAGCTCAACAGTTTACATAGCGAGGAGCATCCCACAATTCATCGCGTTGAATTAATTATCGGGAACAGCATGCGCGTAGAACAGACTTGTATATGCGCTATACAAGTTTTCATTATTATTATCATTATTATTAACAGCATGTTTTGTTCACTCTTGCCCCAGCCAATGACAGAGTACTTCGCGGCAACCCACCAACTATGGCTACATTCACACGGGGAGGGTTCCCTTCGGAACCGTTCTAGTTTAGGCGTGCGTTCACACTGGAACTCTGGAACTGACCTCATCTGAGGCTGGCAAAGTGTTCAGGTTTGGGGCCGGCTAAAAAGCCGTTCCACATTGAGGACAGGTCACTTCGAAGCATGAACGGATCCGTGTGAACACTGTTCCAATCCGTACCGAAATGTGGACGGTTCCGTGTGAACAGTGTTAACTGTCGTAAAACCGAGGTGTCCTCAAACTTGACCGGGCCCGTGTGAGCGTAGTCTAAGCCACCGATATAACGTGGCTCCATATAACTAGCACATGGGTACACCGCCGCTCACTGGTGTGGACATTATAAGCTTTTCCGTCTGTCTGTATCTAATTTTATGTGTATTATTACCGTATTGTAGCATTGAAAATATTGTACTATGTTCAATAGACAGTAAATACAAAACGTTTCTTCTTCTGCACTGATCTTTAATCTACTTTAAGCTAAGATTCCATGTTTAGATCTAGTCCAAACGCTACCAAATAGTAAAAGATATGATTAAGCAGAATGACAGTTGAAAGGTCTATACACATATTTTTTTCGGCCTATTTTCCATCATTTACTGGAACGCTTAATCGCATGGCAATAGTCTCCTTCACGGTTACCTGTACCATGTTGAAAGGTAGCCCTGCCTTTGCATCGAAGCGAGACGACCGTTGAGCGTGCAATGATAGAAACCTGTGAATAATTGTCTGTAGCTGTGAAAGAAGGTTTCTCTCATTGCACGCTAAACGGTCGTCTCGCTTCGATGCAAAGGCACGACTACCTTTCAAGATGGCGCAGGGAACCGTGAAGAAGACTATTGATATGAAGGATGGTTTTAAGTGCCGTAAAACGTTGTCGTAAAACTATAGATTATACTTAAATAACCTTTAATAGACGTAAACTGCTAACGCGTTGCTATAAACGTTTCCCCTCAATTCAAACCACCCGGGAGTAAGGTTTTATTTTTCGCTGTATTTTCATTTCACCGTTGAATTCTTTGCGTGAAAAGTTCTTTTTCACACAGGATTTGAATTGGGTGGTAACGTAAATAGCAACGAGTTAGCCGATTAGTTCTACAAACAAAATTTCTGCTATTATTAACTTTATTCACTTTCCTCCAGCATTCTTTCAGCTTGTTACTTAACAACCAACAAACAAAAAGCAGTTTTAATTTCAACTTTGAAAGTTGCGTTTCTGAATAGTACACATTACACTATAATCGGCGAATTCGATATCTCTTGAAACGAATGATGTTCTTGTATCCATTGGCAAGGAGAACACCTCCTTTTCCAGCTGCCGGGTAATGGCTGGTTATCTGGACCG